GAAAAGGGAACACTTAGACGTTTAGACACACATGCAGCAAAGATTTCAGGGACATTCTACAAGCCCAGACATGCCAAGGCATGCCAGAAGCCAGCGAGAGGCCTGGTGCCCATTCTCCCTCAGAGGTTTGGCAGGAACCAACCCACCAACACCTCCGGCTCGGACTCACAGCTTCTGGGACTGTGGGACATCACAATTCTGCGTGTGAGCCCCGCCGCGGGCTACTTATCCCTAAGGAAGCCCTAGAAATCCAACCCACTCTGCAGACAGCTGCGTAGGCCCTTCCCGTCCCCACACGGCCTTCTCTGCAGCCTCTACAGGACGTCACCACGTTGAGGGGCCACCCTACATCAGGATGGCCTCAGGTCAAGTCCTTGACTTCGTGACATCAGGCCAATGTCTGAGGCTCTGGGGGGTCAGGACCTGCAGATGCAACCCCCGACCTGGGATTCACGTTTCCCCTCGTGAAATCCTAGCTCCAAGTGTCAGAGGAGGGAAACCCAGGCTCCGGGAGAATCAGTCGCCTTCCCAAACTCAGGTGCTGGAGGTGGTATGGGGCTGAAGGTCCTTCCTGCTTGCTGCTGTGTCGTGCCCTGTCCCAGAGGACGCTGGAGTGACCAGGACTCTCGGTGAGAAGAGGGGTGAGAACGGGAGGACCCACCCAGCTGCAGGCGGGCCATCTGTGCAGATGTCCCCCGGGAATGGAAAAGGCCTGAGAGGTCACTTACACGAGGGGCCCATCCCCGGGGCCTGGCGGTCCACGGGTCAGTTAGCAGAATTCTTAGGTCTAGGACGACGAGATGTCTCTGGCCTTGGGCTTCTGGGCAGCCTCCTCATCCCCCACATCCTCCAGTGTCTGGACAAAGAAGATCCCCCGGGATCAGAGCGGCACTGTCCGGGATGGGATCCCTCTTGAGAACCTCTGCCCAGTTGCTGGGAATAGTAAGGAGCAAACCCCTTTCCCCCCTCCCTAGAGGTTCAGCATTTGAGTGCAGACATATTAACAGGAGAAAAGGCATGCACGTTTACTAATGCCTACCCGGGCAGTCCCAGGGATCTGGAATCCCGTGTACTCTCCTTCAAAGGGCCAGGAGGTTGGGGCCGTAGGCC